CCCCACTCACCAGGCTCTTAAGCCTCTGAAAGTTCTGGCTTTATTCTACTTTTAGCAGCATACAACCACATCTACTTTTAAAGGCAAGTCTCAGGAGGCTGGCAGTCCTTTTATAATGAAACGTTTTTCCTCTAGTAATGCAAAGGACTCAAAAAGTCAGAATCAGATTTAGAACGTATCGGTACTGGTTTCCTCCATCACTTTGTCAGCTTCCAGGTCCTTTTTACTCTTTATAGGAACGATTGCACGAGCAGGAACCAGGGGACCCTCATTCATTCTCTGTTGATACTACGGTATTCTTCACTGTATCTGACTAAAGTCAGTCATTTGTTCAGAGCTGTGATGAATATGATCTAAACATTACTGAAAAAAAACAACAAAAAAAGCAGATGCTACTGGACCCTCTGATTCCATCCCACAGACCCGTAGTGCTCACATCCATCCTGGTTCAGCGGGAATGAGCGCACTGATTATCTGTGTTCATGTTTAATGCAAAGAGTGTTTTCATATAGAGACCTAAAACTGAAAATATCGTTTTGTTTTTGCATGCATGCCTGGAAAGCATCATTAGTTATGGGATGACAGCATGGTGGAGCTAACTCTCAACACAGGCAAAGGTAAGTCTGCTGTGGAGGACAGGAAACATCCTCCTGGAAGCCTTTGGTGGGCAGTCTGTAAGACCCTTTACATCCTGTATCCTGGGTGCGTAGTATAAAGGTACTGAGATCGCAAAAGCAAACTGAACCGTTAAAACGTTTTTACACTTTTTTTATCAACATAAATTTAAATTACATCTTTTATGGCATTTTTTTATGTGCAATGTCTCTTTTGGAGCTGCAGAGAGTTTTCCTCCCACCATGGGTTGAGTGTGGGACGGGGCTGGTTTCTGCTGGGTGGCTGGATGGTGTGTTTGTGTATACTGTCCGTCAGAAGGAAGGACAGTTCTGGGCCACAGCCACCATGTGTTTGGTTTGATAATAATATTTGAGACAGTTTTAAGAACTTGCAATAAAAATTAGTTTTCTTTTCCTCTTGCATTTCATAAATATGATCCAACTTATCCCTTAACAGTTTAAGTATTTCCATATTTAACTACCTGGGTCATCTGGTATTTGTCAAATTAATGAGTTTGTTATCATATTTCCGCACAATAACCACACAGTACCCCTTAGAATATTTATTCCACCGTCACACTCTCTAGGAAGGCAAGAATATTTGAAAAACAAGAAGCTGACTGATAGCAAAACATAGATTTGTGTCGAGTTAAACAAACAGCAGCAAAAAAACACCACCTGCACGATAACAACTAACAAAGGTTCCAACACCCCTACGACCCTACCTGGAACTAAGGGGAAGTATGACAAATGGATGGATGGACATCACACTCATTTGTTTTTACAAGGCCTAATTTTTTGCAGTTGTGTCTAATAAACATCCCAAGATCCTAGATATATAGTTTTTTAGGGGAAAAATGTACAAAATATATTACTGATATGTAAATCATTTCTATACATATATTGCAAAAAACATGTTTCCCAACTGTGACAGAAGTCTTTTCTGTCAAAGTTGAGTTTTAGTTTTACTTCAGCTCAGGCAAAAGATCAGACTTACAGAGCCCTTCCCTCAGGGGTGTGAAGCCACAGGGCTCCTCCCTAATGGTCATTGGATGCACTTTTTATGGACATATTGCTTCTGCTGAATTGACTGACATATATGTAATCTCTCAAACCGGGGAACCGCTTCACCATCAGCTCCCTGAAGTGGTTCTGGAACTTTTTTCCAACAAATGTGTAGAATATGGGACTGATGCAAAAGTAAATGTAAGCTATGTTACGAGTGATCTGAAGGGCGTAACCCAGCTGCTGCTGTTTCACACAGGTGGTGGCCTCATCATACATCAGCACCACTACGTTGAATGGAATCCAGCAGATAAAAAACAGCAACACAATGACAAATATCAGCCTGACTGTCCTGAACCTGGAAGCTAATTTGGTTGAAAT